ACTACTGAACAAAACTTTTTAATTACATAAATTATCACTCACAGTTACTACACTGTGTAATTATCATAGCAACTTTAAAACCAGAAGATGTGACTTGTACGTACTGTACACAAAGTTCTGCAATAATTTCATGAAACTTCTTATGAATGGCTCTCATGGCTGAGGACGAAGGCACTTGCCTTTACCACTGATGTTCCAGGTCCGATTCCCCATAGAACCTCAAGTCAAATTTGTTACGAGTTTGCCTGCTTCACAGGGACCAGTCCAACCCCTGTGAAGCGTCCTAAACCTTACCCCTATCCTTATTCCTTCCCAATTCTGGTCGATGAATACGAGTAAATGACACAAGGCGAGCTCGAAGACGCTACATGTCGGCGATTCCCCGACTTGACTGCGACTGACGTGACTGCGACTACTCAGCGGTCCCTAGAAGGCGCTTGCAACGGAGGATTACTCCAATTAAAGCCCATAAGGGCTAGTGTGTGCTCCACACCCACGTGGGCTAGAGAATGTTGTCCCAAAAAGCCACCGCAGTTGTGGAACAACACTTGGACACATTCGTTCGCTCTCCTAGTTCTTCTTTTATAAAAACATGTTTATATTTACGAAACTTGAAAACAACATTACATATACAACTAGTGCTACCGAAGCACATCCTTTCTCGCAATGTTTCTAAACGCTCCACAATATTATATTGAACAATTGATTTGATGTGGCATACGTTTTACAAATAGGACAAGAGAGTTGTAAACATGTTTAAAATTTCAAAATACAAAAACGACATACTACAGACACTTCCAGTTTATTTAGAATATTAACAGATAATGTATGTGAGTAGAATTGCTTCAAATGATTTGCAATAAAGTTTTTGAAATTCTCAATAGTTTCCTGCGGCAACAGAGTTTTGTGACAAATAATTACTCCAGAGCCAGGCTCGACCCAGTGGCCCCTCGCTCCCACACGTTGAGTCCAAACACGACACTTAACCACTTCGGCCACCCGGGTTATACAGAAAAGTGGCTCTTCCATAATAGTCATAACCGAAAGACAAGTGATTTGATGATTCATACGTTTTACAAATCCAATACGATATGTGAAAAATTGTTTCTAAGTTGAAAATTCGAAAATCACACACAGACACTTCCAGTTTATTTATCTATGCTTTGCGATGGTGTAACGGTTAGCGTACTGGACTGTTGTACCCAAGTTGGCGGGTTCAAACCCGATCGAAGCCGTGGATTTTTAAGGGCGAAAAAATCCTTCGTACGCCTTCCTTCGGAGGGGAAGTAAAGCCGGCTGTCCCATGTTCGTAGATTTACTTGCATGTAAAAGATCCTCAAGCCTAAATGACGCCTCTGAGCTAAATTCAAATCGCCTGTTTCTCGCCCAAGTAATACCTCCTTTCTCTCCTAGTTGGTGAAAGGAGCGTAGCGAAATTTGCGTGGTCAGACGGAAGAGCGGGCCTGATGGCCCGAGTCTCGCCACGTAAAATAAGGCAAATTCAATTCAATCTTGATTAATAGTATTTGCGATTAGAATTACTTCAAATTCTTTTCAATATTTTTTTCTGGAATCATCAATTATTTCCTGCGGAAACACAGAATTGTCACAAATAATAGTTCTCAACCAGGACTCGAACCAGCGAACTTGCCCTCCGCAGAACTCAGGCCTTAACCCCCCCCCACACACACACACACACTCCAAATTAGCTACCTCGGTTATTCAGTTACGACGTGCATTGAATACTTCTATAATAGTAATAAGTGTATGGTGGTTTCAGTTCTAGCATTACGGAACCGAGTAAATTAAGAAAATGTGAAAAATGTTTGGTTTTCGAGCGGCGAAAGAAAATAGATGAGAAGATACCTATCTAAAAAGCTGGTCTTGAGTGGAAAGAATAGAAAACTAACTAGGGCGAGAAAGTATGTGCCATTCTAACACCACTAGTTAAATAGTTAATTGAATACAACAAACTTTGTCTGACGCAAAATTATCGTCAGATTTGTGGTCTTGAAATGTTTTTGCAATTTAAAAAAGAGCAATATCCTAAAATAGGTCTAGCACCATATTTCTTACCGCGCCTTATTACATATGTGGAGGATAAATAAAAAAATTGGAGCGGTTTCGGACACTTTTTGTGTGTAAATTCGAAGCCCACGTCACGCAGAAACTTTTCGTTTCTTCAAAAAAGTGTACATGACCTTATCTAAAGATCACGATCTACTATTAATTTACTCTTCGCTCTCAATAGACATTAAACTATTCTATTCGCTCTCCAAGTTTAATCTTCAGAGGTCGGTCTAGAGAAGTAGTTTTGAAGATCATCGGTGGATAGCGCTGTCGGCAGGCAGGGATGTCGATCACCATCAACCTCTGGGGCCGAGGCATCGTCGACGCGAAATATAATGTTTCCACAGGTGTACATTTGATTACGAGTCCGTTCTGTAAAGTTGGCCGTTCTGTAAGGAAGTCTCTTTCTGCCTCTCACGATGGGTGCATATTTTTGGCTGAAGTTACAGCCAGCGAGCGATATGTGTGTGAAATATATTTATTATAAGATACACCAGGATAGTGAAAATTTCGAAATGAAATAATTTTGTGAAAAACATGCCCAAGCAATAGGGCTTGTTGCAAAGTGCTTGAGTGCGATCACCGTATTTTCGAAACCAAGTTATTTTTTGTTTTGTATGAGATCTATTACTGTCGAGTGTATTCATTGTTGTAGACAATGTTATCCCCTTGAATCATGAACTATGAGATGATATGATGATAATGAAAGGACAATCACAAATAGTCAATGCCTACGCAAAATTCGAACCTTCAGCCTTCTCAGCGCAGTCGTTGGCTGCCGTAACCGCCTGTGGCATGGGGGCCGGCCTAATGTGCTATTTTGTAATAAAAAGAAATGTATGAAACATGTTGGATCTACGTGCCCTTACATTGGATATGAAAAATGCCAATGATTTTTGAGCCTGTCATTCGAGAAATGATTTTTTAGTATATTTTTTATAAACTATCGGCCTTTTAAATATTCATTTTATAAAATTGTATTAATTATCATTGAGAGAAATACAGTAAAAACTGTCTCAGGCAGAAACTGGGAAAGGCTGAAACCTGCATTTGGCGGATAAAATCTCAGAACGAGCTATTTTCCAATGCAAAGCACACTGGATGAGCCGGAAACCTGCCTATGCAGAAACGGAAAGGGCTTTTTAGTACATCGGTATGAAAAATTCTGGATAAGAGGGGGGAAAATAGTTTTGCAATAAAATATTGACTTGTAAGAGTGGCGACATTGTACCCCGAGACAGAGCTGAGCTCGCCCATTCGCTTTCTCCGCTATCGTTGTCCGAAATTTGTATAAATTAGTATGGAGAGAAATTTTACCTACATTGAACTTAAATAACCGTTCGGGAAAATTCCAAAATGTTCATAAATACAGACCTTAAAATGTTCGTAATTTTTCCACGGAGTGGAGAAACGTTTAACATTAAGTTAATCAGAAGTTGATATAATTTAACGTATTAATTGTTCAATGCATTACTTGTAATAAATACATGGTTATTTAAAGACATAAAAAATATATGCGTGTTTTTGTCATTTAAAAAAATGTTTGCATTTTCTTGTGGTGAATTCAAATGTCAATGGTTGAATTTCAGTAATTAAGGCACGCGTTGAAAATATCGTTTGTGATTAATGATTTTAATGTTGACATTTTTTATTAAACGTATATCAACGTCTTTCACTTTTGGTTACATGTGGAGGCATTGGGTGTTTGCATCCCCGCCAGTGTTTGGGAGGAGGAAGGATGAAACAGTTTAGTTAAGTTTCCCTTAATGAGTAATGGAAATAGATGTTCTACCGCCAGTCGAAACAAACCTCGAACAGCCATGAATGTTGTAGAATCGATGGAACATTGGATGTAATCTAAAATATGCAGTATATATTAATTCTGCATGTTGTAAGGAAAAGTCATGGCCCCGTCGGTTTAAGTAGAATTTTAGCATTTTTCAGCCGAGAGCCGGTTACCCTTTCGTCCCCTTTCTTTGATCTGGGGTCAGCAGAACGCTGGGCCCTCCGCGACAACACATATATGAGAGAAAAGGGACAAACAACCATGCCCATGGCGGGACTCGAACCCGCGACCCTTCGGAACGAGGCGCTGAGTCGGCTCACGCAAAGTAGAAATCATGTATAAAATATATTTTCAAGTTTCAGTTTAATTCCAAACTAACGTGGTTTCCTTACTCTATCAGATCCCCCGAAGTTGGGGGGGGGCAGACGGTCGCCAGACCTGAGGCTCTTGGTGGAGGTGGAAACGTCTACCCGGACCCAATTTTCTCGAAGGCACTTATGTCGATAGTGCCAAGGTGGGCGCAGTGAGAAGGTGATGCTAAGTTCTGTGTCACCGGGTTTGGCGGGTGACCCAGAAGTTGGACCTGGAACTCGTTCCTAGATCCACTTATAAAACTCCGACAGGGAACACGAATCTCCCGACAGGGTGCCTGGATTCCAGCGATACTCATGTCGATAGCTTCGAGGTGGAAGCAGTGAGGAAACGGGGTGAGGGCCTCGCGTCACCCGAGCTTTGATTCGGGCGGCTTTCAGATGGGCTCTTGGTTTCGTCGTGGCAGTGCTGGATACTCGTGAGCAATTGCGTAGGGATTCACCTCGGCGTATTGGAATTGGCGTTTAACCAGACTCCGGGATTGGCTCGGAAAGCTAGTAGCTCTTAGCTGGCAGAGTGGCCCCACCCAGGCTTAATTGGGGAGGTACCCCAAGGGGGTACTATGTTACGGCGGGTTGCAGATGCGAGCCTAAATGGTACTTTTTGCTCGCAGGGGGTGCGGATGGTGAAAGCGGGCCTTCGTGCCAACAAGCAGGTACCACCGGCAGCCAGTTCCCGGGGATTTGAAGATTCGAAACACCACGAGCGGCCTAGTTCTTAAATAGACACTTTGAATATTCTCGAAAATAAAATAATTCCATCTGTTTTGCAGATATATTGGTGAAGAAGCAGTGGCAGATGGAAAACCATGTGAACTAAGTGACGAACCTACCTGGATTATAGACCCAGTAGATGGAACTATGAATTTTGTTCACGGATATCCAAACTTTTGCATCTCCGTTGCCTTGTGGATTAAAAAGAAACCATCGATTGGAATTATATACAATCCTATATTAGAGTTAATGTTCACGGCTCAGACAGGAAAAGGAGCTTTTTTGAACGGAAATCGTATTTCAACATCTTCTGTTAAAGGTATGCCAACATTGAAGATATGACGGAGAGTTTCCGGGCTGGTAGACCGTGGTCTAATTGGTGTTAAACTGTCAGACGTTTCGTCGACGACTGCGGAGGACATCTTCAGCGGCGGCCGTTTCTTCGGCGTAGTATTCTGGAAGGCGGCTCTCTGTCGACCGGTGCAGCGTTTTTTTCGGCTTAGCCGAAGGTTTGTGTGAAGGTTGTGTTGCAGTTCGCACGCATTTCGCGTTTTACTACTATGTAGTGTTTACTTACTACGCTGGTGTGGGTTCGCGTCAGCCCTTATTCAATAACCAAATTGGCTTTTGTGTTGCACAACAGAATATAAGAGGGAAGTGCTTGTCTTCTTTGTCTTGTGAGGACAGGTTCGAGCTAATTGTTTTAGCGTTGCCGGAGCTTCGTTGGTTTGAAAGGCATGATAGGTTTCGCTGAACGAAAGTCGTGTCAAGCATTGAGTGAAGGACTCGATATCAAGTTCCTTTCAACCGTTTCGAAACGAAGGGCGTTCTATGAGCCCTAGAACTTTGTTCTGTACTAGCTCAAGTGTAACCTTGGACTTCTGTGCTGTGGTCCACCACTTGCCGCAGCGTAGGTGGCCACAGGCCGGCAGCACGTTTTATCGAGTGCCAAGTGAAGTTCCAAGGGGAGTGTAGGTTCCCTCAAAAGAAGTTGTAAGAGTCGAACTCTTTGCTGTAATTTTGATCGAATTCTCCTGACATGCAAATGCCAGCGCATCTTTCGATCAAATGTGACGCCTAAGTAAGCTGCCTTAGGTGGCCATGTTTGTGTGCCAAGTGTAATTTGTCTTGGTGGTGTGAAACGTTTTGTGTATTTGTGTTTGTGGTGGGTGTAACAGATTGCCTGCGTCGTTTCCACTGAAAAAGTCAAGCGGTTTTGTTCCGCCCACTTCAGCGTCAGATTCATCTGATTTTGAAGTATTTTCAATTTGTGATCTAGGTTTATTCGTCTTGCTAAGACGGCTATGTCATTAGCGTAAAGGAAAAGCCGTATTCGTTGTATATGTGGGATGTCATTGGTCCCGGTCTGAAGGCAAACTGTTCATCTCGGATGAGGTTCCGCGAGAGAGCAGTTGGCAGAATTCGCGCGAGTTGAAGCCTCTCGAATACTTTTCCCATAACAGAAAGGAGACTTCGAACTGCAACACAACTACAATCACACAAACCTTCGACTGAGCCGAAAAAACGCTGCACCGGTCGACAGCGAGCCGCCTCCCAGGGCACTGCGCCCAAGACACGGCCGCCGCTGATGATGTCCAATTGGATGGATCCCAGCCAATTGGACCACGGCTTACCTTCCTTAAAACTCTCTCTGTTATTCACTTCGGCCGTGAAAGCATACATGCTATATTGAAGATATGGTTAGAACAAGCGCAAATAGAGCCTGTGCTATTTTTTTCTACTTTTTTTCAGATCTTGAGAAAGGTCTTTTAGCTATGGAATTTGGTACCAGCAGAGATCCTGAAAAAATGGTAGTTGTAATGGAAAATACTCAAATACTTTTACCACTCCTTCATGGGTAAGTATTAAAAAGTATTAGTTTGGGATGTGCGCATGCATGTCTGTACCATCGGGCTTGGACGTTTTAAGAGCCATCCGACTATGTTGGTCCTAGTCTGCGGACTCGAATTTAAAACATGTGGTTGTGGCAATTTTTGATTTCAAACCACCACGAACCCCACGAATCATGTCCTGGACCCCATGCATCCCTCGTCAGCTTACCTTATAAAGTGGATGGCAATAGCAATTCATCATTACCGTAATTCATCTACTGCAGGAGAAGGCATGAAAGCATAAAACAGCCCATTACCTTTCGGGCGGAAGTGAATAGATTAATCATAATCGTCACTGATAACTTATTGAGTTAGGAACAGAAACGGACATGTTTCAACTATTTCGATGAATGACTCATAAATTACTTCCCAATATTATTTGAAAGTGCATTAGAAGTCGTTTCTGTGCGTGTGTGCAGTCGGTGCAGATGCAAGCAAATCCGGCAGGATATGTAAAGAAACTCATGAAACAAATAGAGTTCCTAAAATGAATGATCAAAAATAGCGGAAAATGTCGAATTGAAATGAAGCTTAAAAACGGCGCAGGTCACATTTTCGTCGAACTCCTTGAATTTTGAAAATTGCAAACGTTCGAAATAATACGAGAAAGTAATACATGATCTTGGCGGAATTACAAATTCCGATCTTCTGCACATTATTTGGTTAGGAGTTTTTCATGTGATAGCCGAAGTGTTAACTTAATCGTTACCAATAATAAGCGAAAGTATGAGTTGTTGTAGCCTCGGTGGTTCTCTCCTTATGTTTATTTGTTAACTAGTGTTATTGGAACGAAATCGGGGCATATGATCAAATGGGGTAATGGAGCGTAAAATACTGCCAAGAAATATTTCCACGTCTATTTTCACTACTGGAAGTTTCAACCGTAATCAGTATTTCTTTCTGTCAGTTTTATCCACACGTATGTGATTTTTGAGAAGGGGAATTTTGTTGACATTTTTCACATACGCTTCATTGCTATTGGGTCATGGGTCTCCAATGATTCGGTAAAATCATATCAGTGCATGTCTTCGACTGGAATTTGCTCTTCAGAACTGTTGTGACGGAGAATATTATATGTACGACCTGAAATGTGGGGGAGTTGTTTTGTTCACTAACATTTCCATGCTATTAAGTTGGAGAAAATGGGGAATCAAACTTCGTTAATCGTTTTGCTACAGCAAAAATATTCTGCTTTAAGATTCTATGTTGTTTGGAATGGTCATTAGTTGGAAAATGTGTTACTTTTGCAGAATTCGGTCATCCGGATCAGCTGCCCTAAATATGGCAATGGTGGCAATGGGTGGTGCAGATTGCTACTTCGAATTTGGTATTCACATTTGGGACATAGCAGCAGGAGTGCCTCTTATTCAAGAAGCTGGTGGCTTTGTATCTGATCCCGCCGGTAA